AGCGGTAGTTCCCGTGGGTAGTTCAAAAGGCCAATTTTGCTTAGTTTGTCGATTTTAGCAGTTATGGAATGTGTGTGCCTTCGTAGAACCGTTCTGCGTTCCAATGCCATCAGAAAACCCCTGCTAGATTGATGGATGGCGCGTAGAAAACCAGAAGTGTACAGGTAATTCAACCTACTTAAACACAAGGACCCGAAAAAGACCGCTAGAGACAACCTCACCAATATTTATCATAAAACAAAAAAGACCGCTGAGACAACCTCACCAAAGGACCTTATGCAAACAAGGTCTCATACCTTGTCCGAATTCGGCCTGGTAGTGGGTTGTTCGATTGCGACCTTTGATAGTCATTTGACAATTTTTGGACTCGGAAGCCAGTGTATTTACTTAAGCTGATTTCAAAATAAATATTTATGCAGTTTATAGCGAAAAATTCCGGCTGCCGAGGCACTGATAATGTTCATTTCGCCGAAATTAGTGATCGTGCATGCGCAAGATCTACCTTCTGTATGTACTGATTGTGCTCCTGGGCCCGGTTGGTGGTCAGATGAGGATAACTATAATGAAGACCGGATAAGCTCGAAGCGGTTGTCCCCCAAACATTCCGCATCCTCAGCAATGCCCCCCAATGGAGTGAAGTTTTCGGAAGAAGTATTTTAAAAATTGATCGTGAACCTTGAGCATTCGGTTAATTTGAGTACCATTACTTTCTATAACTTAACTGCATAAAGTAAGCGACGAAAATTATTTTATTCACGCGCCATTTGCAGTCTCATCATCACACGCAAATTACACCACGTCTCTAAAGACCAGACACGCGCATTTTCCTCCCAGTTAATGCAACCACAATGAGAATGCATGCAAGTCATCCTAGACTTAATTTGTTTGGCCAATGTTCTGGCTTACGGATTTGTCGACAGGGTCGGTTGTTCACACATCTAAAAGATCGGTGAAAGCGTGGAAGTTCACAACACCTGCATCACAATTGCATTTCATCGGCCTCTTTTGTTGTCACCATTGTTCAGGAGTTACTGCGTTTTATTGGCCCTTCGCTTCACCGTGGATTCGGGGTGGTAAAAGGAGTTTTAAATAGAGCGTACATCAAAGAACGGCAGTTGCTTCCTCGTTCGTTTTTTTCATTAGAAATCCAATAGCAGGAAATATTCCCGAAGCAATTCTTAGAGCCTAAGTACTTACGAAGTTATACTTGTATGTAAACACCGAATTAACAAAAAATAATTTCCAACATGGAGTAGATCAGTCAGTAAATCAGAGGTAGACCGAAATGTGATACATATATTTCTTTATTAAGGCCGAATTCTACCGGCCAAAGCGGGATAACCATGTACTATTCATTTAACTGCCAAAAGGTTGCTGAAATTATAAATTGGGGTTACCAAATCATCATACTGACAGCACGAGTATTAGCTAAAAGTCCAGGGGCGTGTTTTGCTGACATTCTGTCTCTGTTCGGCACAACTGCGCAGCGTTTGTCTTATCATTGGGTCAGCCAGCTTTCCTCACGTGTTTTTGGTAGATATTCCGGAGTATAGGTAGATAATCACCGAAAAACGGCAATCATTGTACACCAATAACTCCTATTTGGTGCTGTTTCTGATGCAAGGCCCGTTTGCGAACTCGAAATACCAGAAACAGAAGACCCTCATGTGAGCGGTCACGTCTCTTTCCTCGCAAGTGCTTACGGGAACGCAAATTTTTGCTTGTATGAACATGCTCTGCCCGCTGCGGTTATACGTAACCCAGACCTGTATACACTCTCTTGGTGCATAATTTTTATCCACTTGCAAGCTCTTCCTTTAGTGAGTTGCACTTCTTATTTCCATATTCTCATGTATGTTGGGCACAGTCATCCAAACAGCAGGCTTGCACGTTCACATTTTGTTTTTACTGACAGTTACAGTTGATAAGCGCGTCAGCATGGTTTTCACAATCTTCCGTCTCTGCCATAAAAAATATATATGTCACCTTGTCTGTTTAACAACCCGACTATAAGACCAAAAGGCAGCTACCGCAACTTCACCATAGCAGTAATAGGAGTCAACGAGTACTTTTAATGTTAGAATTCTAAAAATTGTATTAGTTTAGCCCTTGAAGGGCATATAGTTTAAAGACTGTAGGTCTTTCCCTGGTCGTATCTCTCCCCCTAATAAGATTTTTAGCAGCTCAGTTACTTATAGACACTAACATTTGAATTACACCACTTTCTGTTGGACTGTTCGCCTTAAGGTTGCGACCACGGAATAAATTCCGTTTTCAAAAGCAATACCTGAAGTCAAGTTACTGGCTTCTATTCTCTTAAAATATCCTCAAGAAATGTTTTTCTTTCCAACGGATAAGCTAATGTATGTAAGGTATGTATATGGCCGTAACCTTAGCTATTGTGGCCCGCTGTTGTACAGAAACGGCGAGACATGTGTTTGGGATTTTAGCGAATACCCTTGTTGAAAGTAGGGCAAATAACTTCCAATATACGTTTTATATTGGGAAGTATTGAGCCGCGTGATAAAGGCGCTGGACCAACACTAGGGACAAATCAGAGCAGGCGTTTTTCGGGTTGCGCTCGCATAACATGTTGAAATGAGGGTGGGGG